CTCCCTCTTCCCAAGTAAAATCATTTACAAAAATCAAGTGTCTTATATAAACAGCACTCAGAGCTCCAGGTTGGGGGTGCCCTGTGGGGTACAGGTGGATCCCTCTCTTTCTCTCCTGCCCAGGCTCCCGGAGTCTTGGTGGCAAAGGTCAGCTACACAGGAGATAGGAGCAGGAGCCATGCCTGCATTTGATGCCCAGTCCAGCAAGCTTTCCACCAGAAAGCTCCCCACCCCCTCTTTCTGAAAGCACACGGCCCATCCCTGAAAGTTCAGTAGTGGGTGTGGTGACGCTCTGTCCTCATCCCGTGTGTTAGGGGATTACAGTCAGGCTGAGGTGGCCCCAACCTGCAATATCTTCCCATCCATCATTCATGGCAGAGGCAGCCTCTTAGGGTAAGCCCCACCTCCACCCTTCTTGAGAATGTTATCGTGCTGCTTCTGGTACAGCCCCACCAGCAACAGCAAGTCCTCACGCTGAGAGAGAGAGAGAGAAATGAGGCATTCATTGGGAAGAAATATGCCTCCTCCGTCCCTCCTTCCACAGACGGGGCGATGCTCCCTGTTACCAAAGGCCATCCCCTCTTCCAACCAATAGCATGAGTGAGTTTTCAAAGGAAAACAATGCTTGTGCCCTCCCTGTTCATTAGACTCTGGATGAAATTAAATGGAACAAGAAGAAACCCTGGTTCTTAAGTCAAAGAGCAAAGGCAACATGGGTCACACCAGAGGGAACAGCCTTCCCCAGGCACCTTCCGTAAGGGGCGCCGCTGTGGGTGTAAGTACCCTAACTTCCAGTCATCAGCTGACTCAAGCCTCCACAAGGACATTACATGAATTAAGTAAGACGTTGGAATGCATGCTTAGAATGAAAAAACGAAAGGCTCACCTAATCATTATTAGGTGTACAAAAACTGGAGAAGAGTACAGAGCACGGGGAGGGTTAGACTTCCCGTCCCTCGCTACCAGGGGACCTGTGAAGCCCTCCGTATCTGCAGCCGAGGCCAGCTGGCACCCTCTTCTGTGTCCCAGTTCTCTGTCATCCGCTGATCTTCTCGTTCCACACTGTTCCTCACCCAGCCGGGCTGGGTCATGAGGGGCACTTGGGGAGTCAGAGTTTCCACACCCTCTGCAGAGAATTCTCAGTCTTTCTTTCTGTAACTTCATATTTTGGGGCAGAATCTTCAGCAAGTATGTTTCTGTGTTCTGGCTACGCGTCTTCCTAATTTACTTCTTTACAAGTCTAACCTCTTTTGCAGGGTTTATATCCTTCGTGGTAAATTTTCTTAAATGCCTTTGGCTGTTTTCTGTTTGCCAAAGGATGGACTTTTCTCTCTCCACACCACTGCTTGGTTCCGTATGTTCCCTTTTCATTGAGTGGCTCTCTGCACTTTAGTGATCTCCAGCTTTTGGCAGGAAGAAAATAGCTTCCTCCACTGTGCAGATATCACTGTCTTCTAGGTTGTTCTACCAAACACCCCTGCTTGTTGTAGCACTTGGGGGGTTTAGGTTTAACTATTTCATGCCTACCATGTGTGCATTGTACAAAAATGACAGGAAAACCTGGCTTCTTGTAATTGTTTGGAGTAGCTACTGCTTACTGAGCAGATACTATGTTCTAGGAATTATGCTAACTGATGAACATATATTATCTCTAGTCCTTACAGCAAATATGTAATGTAAGCATCATGGTTCCCATTTTCAGGTGAGGATGATGAATCCAAGAGAAGTTACATAATTTGCCCTGGATCGCATAGGCAATAAGTGGTGGAGGTGAGATTCGAATCCAAGTCTGAGTGAGTCAGAAGCCCATACTCTCTTTCTTTCCGCCATTCTTCCAGCCACTCAGCAAATGCTTACTGAGCACCTACCATCTCCTAGATATTGTTCTTTGCTTGTGGAGCATAACATTTAGCTCACCTCATCCTTCATTGTAATTCTCTTGATCTGTTACAACGGAGAAGAAAGTTCCTAAAGCACATCGCAAGGGAAAGCTCCAGAACAGCAAAGAGAAGGAAAATAACGACCTCATTGCAGGTGTTAATTTGAAACTTGCTAACCACCAAGGGAAAAAGAACCATGTGAGAATCACTGTATCAGCCCATATGTTTTTAGTTTACACATCCCAGGCAGCAGCTGGAGCCCCCAGGCAGAGACAGATGCAAACATGTGGGATTATGGAATTCACTGAAATATAATAGACAAGAGGAGAAGTAGGAAAATAAGCCTTAAAGCATAGAGGCAGTTTTGCAATCTTTTTATAATTAGTTGCAGTATTAGAGTAGATATTTCTAAGAAATCAACAGTATCATCAATCCTGTCTAACATAGAAGACAAGATGCTGATAGATTGTGCGTTATTCTCTGGACATGCAGAAAATAAGTAGTGATAGAAAGACCTAGGATCTAAACCTGTACAAAACAAAAACAAAAACAAAAACAAAACCCAGTCCCTGTGGCCAGCTCCTTCCCTTAATTGTGGGTTGTTGAAATAGTTTTAATTTTGCTCAGAGCCAAAGCAAACTTATTAAAAACAAAATGCACAGCCCTGTCTGAGCAGCTCAGTTGGTTGGAGCATCATTCCATACACCAAAAGTTTACAAGTTCAGTCCCTCGTCAGGGCTCCTATGGTGGGCAACCAATTGATGTTTTTCTCTCACATCGAAGTCTCTCTCTCTCTCTCTCTCGCGCTCTCTCTCTCTCTGTCTCTCAAATCATTAAAACCATATCCTTGGGTGAGAATTAAAAAAAAAAAAGCCAAAATGCACAGAAAGAGAGAACTATTATAGTGAGACCTAATAGCCATGGCTGAGACTGGTGCTCAAGCTATAAAGTACTTTAGGTTTTCATACTTCAAAGGACTTCTTGGGTTGGCTGTTAGCAGCACCTGTCTATTTTTTCCTTGTTAAGTGAATCTGGGTTTTGTTTAGATAGCATGGAAATTGGTCTGGGGAAGGTGGATACTTCTCTCAGACCCATGAAATGAACCATAATCAACCTGATTCATTTCCTCTTTGCAAATGATGGATTTGGCCAATGTCGTGGTCATTTGGCCCAGTTTTCAGCAAGGAGCCATAACTGGAATTCTTTCAGTGGCTTCTGCAAGGATATTTTTCTCTAACAAATAAAAAGAGATACTGGGAGAAAGCCCATGTCCCTTCTTACTTGTCTGTGAATGTTTTTGTTTAAGAATGTGATATACGGAGCAACTGCAGCAACCTTGTCACGATGGGAGGAGTCAACATTGTCATGCTGAAGGCTACAGCATGAAAACTAGAAAAAGCGTGGGTTCTTGGTGACTTCATTGCACCTCTGAACAACCTGAAACTACACACCTGCAGACTTCTTAAGAACTGCTGTATGGTTTTGCCACTTTTAGTTTCATCTCCATGATACACTGGGTAACGAGAAATCGCTTGAAGCCAACACATTATGCAAGAGCAAAAGAAATGCGTCAGAACCAAGATGAGACTCTGATAACACCAGGCCCTCTATTTGTTGGGTTACGTGGCCTTCAAAGGAATTTAGAAACTGAGCAAACAGCACATACTTATTGAGCACCTAGTATGTGTCAGATACTGCTGGGTGCTAGGGTCACAAGAGTGGATAAGGCAGGCAAGGTCAATGAGGTCATGGAAGTCACATTCTGGAAGACAGATGATAAACAATTAAAGAAATAAGGATAGGTGAAAACATTCTTAGACAACTTTCTTAGTATTGGTTCAAACCAGTCCTGAGTGTAAACCCAGACTCTGGAACCAGATAGATCTGGATTCAAATCCCACCTTTACCACTTGCTGTAGCCTTGGTACAGTGAATAATCTTTACAAGCATCAGTTTCCTCATCTGTAAAACTAAAATAATAAAAAAAATTAGCTCACAGCGTTGTGAGGAGTAAATAAAGAAACTAACTGTAAAGTGCTTTACATGGAATCTGGCATATAGTTAGTTTTTCTAGATTCTAGATGATGAAGATGATGAGGATTAGCCTCATTTTCTTGTCATAATAATTTGTGCCAGGCACTGTGGGTATCAAAATATGAACAAGACATAGACCCTCCATTCAAGAAATCTAGGAGTCAAGAATTCAGATTTGGCCATAGAACGGTCAAAAGTTAGGCAATGAATTAGGCAGAAAACAAAAGAATTCCTCTGGTAACCAGGGGTGGGGTAGGGCTAGGCCCCCTGTCTCTACTTTTCTCCCACACATGTTTTATAACCATTATCCCCTTTTCCAAGAAGGAAAGAAATATTCTGAATGATTGCTGCTCTTCTTTCACAGACAGCCACTGTTCCCAAGAGAATCAAGTGGGCCTTTTCTTTCTCCAGTGAAGTGAAAAATATAAGACGTGTGTATCTGGGTGGCACTCACCAGTCTGTGCTATGAACCAGCAAACACACAGATACTCCTATAAATGATCTCAACAAACCCTCTCTTCCTTCCTTCATCCTCGCGAAATCATTCCCACTTAATGCAGTTAGTGTTCTGCATTTGACTATTAGCTGCCGTATCTAGCCATAAACTACAGACAAACATTGACTAATCGTGTCCCCACACCCACACATACCCTCACACTTAGAAACATTTCCACTGTGGTCACACGAGCCACTGAACACTCTCTCACACTTGGAGAGCATCTTCCCACAGGCTTGCTTACACACTGGCTTTTTTTATTTGTGCTCTCAACTCTCAGGTAGGAATTTCATTAACAAAGGAAAGGGAGGGGAAATCAGGAGAAAAGTACAGATGCAGGGGGAAAGAAATGACAATCGTTTTTGAAAGGGACCTAATATCGTCTCATCCTAGCCCGAACCTCCCTTATAACTCTTCTTTGTTTGTACATTCTGAGCCTGAAAACAAAAAAACTTTTCATTGATTGGGCAGTTGTCCAGGCTCTTAGCTTGGCACCCAGCCCCCAGAACTGTGAAATCAGCCTCACCAAGCCTATGTTTGAAAGGAGAAAACATCTAACTGGAAGCCCGGTCAAAATAAGGGACTTGGCACAAGGCTGCAGGGTCCTGTGTGTCTTCCTTTTCTCAGCTGCATCTCTCTCATCCAATCTTGGTGAAGAGTCTTACTTGGCTAAGAAGGAGATCAGGAACAAGAAGGCAGTGCAAGAAAGTTCCATGAGAGTCGCGTAAGTCACCGCCTGAATAGCAAACCTGAATAACCAGGAGCGATGTAACCCCAGCATACTTTCAGTTGTTTTCTTCCTGCCCACGCTGCAGGCTTTTCAGGTCCTTGCTTGAGCGTGAACTCACGGGTGTAAATAACGTGCTGTCAACAGCTTGTGTCGGGCAGACCAGCTATTTAAGCAGGCTGGCATCAGAGAGCTCAGCTTCCAAATCCAGCCTTTGCCACTTCCACGTAAGTAACTTTCAGGGGTTTGCCTTTAATACAGAGCAAATGAACTTTGTCTAGAAGTGACTGAAATGGTATAGTTATCACATTTGCTATTCTGTTGGGAAAAGGCGGAGGTAAAAGGGAGGGAGAAAGAAATTTAAGAGCTGGTCCCAAGCAGGGAGACAGAGAACGCTGTTGGATGTTAAGATAACAGATCCTGACAAAGGTGCATAGAGTTGAGGGGGACTTGGAGCAAGGGGCTCTCTATGTTGGCTTTTTGGCCAGTAGGTAAGGTGTTTTGCTCGCTCTCTCCCATCTCTGAAATACACTTTGAAACCTGCGCTTGTAGGACTGTGCCAGGTTGCATATGAATTTATTATTTAGAAGCCAATATTGTTATTCTACAGTTCAGTCTAAAAATCAGACGTAATATCATTTAAAAATACTTTTTGTGTTCCATGTAGCTGGGAAGAGGAGATACCTCTGGACTGAGTACAGGTGGCTCGACTGTAAATGTGCAGTGTTGTTTATTGTTACTTCTGGTTCTCATAATACTTACTAGTGTTGAAAATGAAAATATTGACCTTGTTTGAGATGAAAAGAAATCCCATGCTCTGGGGTTTTGAGGAAATGTAGCCTTGTGATATTGGAGCATAATGGTATCCAGATAAACTGTTAAGTAAAGTGGAATAAGAATTATTGAATATTAAGGCACAACATACCAGATAGCTTAGGTGAGACGGTCTTAAAGAGAAGAGGAATGCAAAAAGTTTCCATGAAGTAGCACTTCACTCGACAGGGTCTGAAGTATATTTAGTTAAAAGGGTTAGTATAACCAGAGCAGGCAGGGAACAAAATAAAGATACTGCGGAGGTGGAAAGGCAGGGAGAAGGGGGAGCAGATAGTAGAGTATTTATAATTAGACATCATATTCACAAAATGCACATAGGAATAAAAGGAATAAAGCATGACATTAATTCCTCAGTTCCTCCCTTGGATCAAGAACTTTGGGGTTAAGATTAAGAATTGGGTGCAAGCCAATAGGCTTTCACAGGTAGCTTCCCCAACCCCTTTGTCCCCAGCACAAATCTTGACGTTCATTTTCTGGAGAGCTAGAAGTCCAGCCCCTAAATGAAGGCCTCTGGTTGCAGCCAGTGCATTTTGTTTTTTATTTATTTTTTTTAAATCTGAGCTGGAGCTGCTGGCTAGGAACCTACAGAGAAATTGTGGGAAGTTGAGAGCCTTCACACGGCAGGCACTTCACAGCCGCCAAAATGAAGCTCAGTTGTAAGCCATAAAGGTCTGATTTCAATAAAGCAAACAATGACTAAGGGGCTTCTCTGAGCAGAGATATGTCGGGGGCCAGGAGGAAGAGAAAAAGAAATGAAAGGTGGCTCCCATTCTCAAAGAGCTAGAAATTTAAAGTACAAGGACAAAACTAATAAGAGGCCCAGTCAAAAATAGTACCTACAGTATGATTCCATTGGTATAAAATGATAGACAATGCAAACTAATTGACAGAAAGAGAAAACAGATTTGTGGTTACCTGGGGAAGGAGGGCAGGGAGAAGAGCTTGGGAGGACAGCCAAGGACCATGGAAAACTTTTGGCGGTAGTGGAAATGATCACTATTGTGATTGTGATAACCATTTCATATGAGTGAAAATGTTTCAGATTTTACCCTGTAGAGATTGCAGCGTTATATGCTAATTATACCCCAACAAACAATACTTTAATAATATATCTTTTTTAAATAATTAAAAGCATCTCTAAAAATCAGCCTATGCAAAATACTGAAAAAAAAAAAAGTATGTTGCCCTCACTGGTGTGGCTCAGTAAGTTGGACATTGTCCCACAAAGCAAAAAGTCTCTAGTTCAATTCCTGGTCAGGGCACTTGCCTGGGTCGTGGGCCAGGTCCCTGGCTGGGGGCGTGTGAGAGGCAACCAGTTGTTTCTCTCACACATCAATGTTCCTCTTCTCTTTCTCCCTCCCTTCCCCTCTCTCTAAAAAATATTGAATAAATAAAAATCTTTTAAAAAATGATTATGTCTGGAAAAAATTAGTTCAGTAAATAAAGCAAAGGAACAGACTGCCAGGATTGTGAACTTTTGTAGAGCTGGGAGGGTCCCAGAGATCATCTAACTCAGTTTCAGACCTGGGGCTGGGCCCCACCCTAACCAATTCAGTCAGAACCCCTGGGTGCGTAGCCTGACATTGTTTTTTGAAACTCCCCAAGTGATTCTGCTGTGAAACCCAAACACTGCACTTCACACATAAGGACGGTGAGTCCAGAGAGAGGAATAGGACCTCAGAGGATGAGCCACCCCAAAAGGCCATGGCTTCTGGGTCCGCAAAACCACACTCTAGCTATAGCTGGAATAGGGCGTCCAGTGTGTTTCCAGCACATTCTTGGAACCCAGAAGTGCTCTGGGGCAGCCAATGGGAGGAGTTACTCAGAGTCTCAAAGGTGCATTATTTAAGGATTGCGCTAACATGTGAGGAGGGATGTGAGGAGGGATGTTTCAAAACTAATAGCTTTCTTTTGTTCTCTACATAATATCTAGCATAAGCCAGAGGATTATAATTATTAAAAAGAATCATGGCAGACACACCAGACACTCTGCTCTGGCAGACAGCCAAGTTGTTGTTTCAGAAATAAGCATGAGTTGTCAGCATTAGGATGAGTCTATTTGGCACTACAGGGGTTTTTCAAAGTGATTTCCAGGTCAACATCAGGCAAAAGCTTGAGTGGGTGATTTTAGTCTTTGTGGCTACGGCTCTTCCTGTCTGTCCCTCACGCTGGCACTTGTGTGGGTGCAGGGGTGCCTGTGGCCTGGCTCAGCTAGCCTTGTTGTTCGTGGTTTCCCATCTGTCCTCCAATCTAAACATGCCTGACTTCCAGGGTCTCATCACTCAAGGCTTTGCTTGCCCATTTCTGAAAACTAATTAAAGTTATGATGTTCCTAGGCAGTAATTGTTTAATGTGTCAGGTCTCTCCCTGGTATATTAAATAGGTTCCAGCAAGATAACATATCTGGGAGTTCTTTGAAATGTTATATAAGTGTAATTACAATTGGTGACAATCAGGAATATCAAAGTTTCAGGCAAAATTTATAATCTCTACTGGTCAGAATTCCAAGCAATTTGCCGGGGGAAAATATACCCAGGTTGAGGGTTTTCGGTAGAATTCCTCAAATCACATCCCATAGGGAGTTCCCTACAGGCTTGTGGGCCCTGAGAGTTTTCTTTTTCGGAATTGGTTTATTTTTTGTTAAATACATTTATCCTCATCAGAGATGGTTGCATTTAATTTATCGTTCGGAAAAAATGGAGAACCATCTTGAGGCCATTAAAATGTCAAGAAATTCTGATCACAGGGCTTTATAAATTTTACCTGGTTCCTTCTCCAGAGCAGAAGGCTGCTCCTGGCAGAACAGCTTTCCCTGCCTTAGTGACAAGGAACCCTGAGTCCTGCAGCCTGGGGCAAGGCGCCCCCCTCCATTCCTGTGACTCTGGGCCCTTGGCAGCCCTTTCTTCCACTGGAGAGCTGCGATGCTGCAGCTCTGCTGGGCAAGTGGCAGCTGCATGTGGCACCTCCTGCCTCTGAAGAGGGGCGTGGCCAGGTGTGTAATTAACCTCCTTTGGGGCTGAAGCAGAGTCTCAGGCAGCTGGGAGCCCAGGGCAGCTGGGCAGACAGAGGGCACAGTCTTTACTGGTGAGAACAGCAGCGAGGAGGGGAGGGGAAGGTGAGCACCACCCTTAGCCCCAGGAGACCGGGAGGCAGGGGACTCAAGCTCTGCAGGAAAGAATTAGTCCGTTGGCATCTGGGTGGGGCCACCTCTGGTTTCAGGCTGCTGTTTGGCTTTGTCATTCCAGCGCTATTGACACACGTGGGGTTTGGGGTTTGTGAGTACAGGAGCAGGCAGGCACAGGTCAGGCTGTCCTTTTCATTTGCTGGGAAAGTGCCTTCGTGGATCGTACGCTGAACACCCTTCCACAGAACTCCAGTGTAGGTAAGTCCTAGCGGAAGACAGCCTGGCTTGGGGAGCAGAGTACGGGGCTGGTGATCAGGAACCTGGGTTTAAATTTCAGCTCTAACTCAGCGGCAATGGAATTTTAAAGCAGGAGGAAACCCAAAAGGCACCCCCTTTTATTCTCAAAAATACCTGGCCTTAGCAATGAACTATATGGTCTCATGAATACAATTCATGAAGGTACAGGAGAGTAAAGTGAGTTGCCCTGAATTTTAGGATTAGTTTACATGGCTGAGCTGACTCTGAACTTGGGCCTGCCTGGGCCTCATTCTGGCCTCTCTGCCAAGTCACTTACTCCTGCCGTGACTCAGTTTCCCTGTGGGAAGCATTGTATCTGTACCGCCCAGACAGAGAGCTGTATATTTATATTGGCTTGCCAAAAAGAAGTTCAGCATGAATGCGGGGGGTTCAAGGAATTGTTTGTCACAAGGCAAGTTACTCTATTTGCTTCAGGTTCTAATGTTATCTTATGGTCATATTGGCATATAGCTGCAATAGCAGCTCATTTGAAAGTAGAGAAGTTAATTTTTACCCATCCTCATGTAGTTTCTTGTAATTTGCTTCAGTAATTTTGATAAAATGTGACCCAACATTGAAAACCCTGCCAGATCTTTCAGAACTGTTTTTACGTGAAAAACAAAAAACGAAAACAAAAACAACCTCAGGCAGCCATCCATCACTTCTAATCTCTTTGTGCAGACTGGGCAGGAAACTAACAGCAATCATTCTAGCTATTAGAGCTAGATGGATTACGATTGAAGTTTCCTAGAATTCTTAAGGATGTGACAGATCTGCTTAGATAGTTTAGTCTTTATTGATATATTTTCATTTCCTTCCTGGGTGGTTTCTCCCTAAGGAAATTTACATAAACAACCTTCCCTAGCTCTTACATCTCCTCACTCCTTTCCAAATTTCTAGTTTACTGGTGCCCAGGAATGAAATCTGTTTTAGGGGGGAAAAAAGACAAAACTTTAATTCAGTAACGTCTGC